ATTTACTTGGAATGCGAAATAGTTTCCTGTGATAATATGAAAAATTAATTAATTATTAACAAAATTAAATATCAAAACTTTGATAGTCTATTAAATAAATATCAAAATGTTTAGATTTATTGAGAAGTTTTCAAATTTTTTAATCAATAAATATTGAATAATTTTGTAGTTATAAATCAAAATTTATACTAGTTATTGTAATCTAACATAATGTATTATTTATTAATTGTACATAAACAAACATTTTTCAATTTGTTCTAAATTTATTGTGTGTATAATATTTTCTTTTTTCTTCATTTAAGGATCGAAAATAAAGATGTAAACAATATTTATTGTTTTATTTGAGTAATATATAAATTTATTTACTTACTTATGCATAATTTAGTAGTGTTAATTTTTTTGACGTATTTGTTCACGAATCCATTCTGAATCATGATGATATTTGGGATTTGATAACAGTAATATCGTTCTTTTATATGTGAAATAATATAATATTGCTGCTAAAATGAAAGGACAAATAATAGTTAAATTGTTTTTATGTCATTTAAAATAAAATATTTTTTTTAGAAAATTTTTCATCCTATTTAAATTTACTGCAATTTCTACTTTTTAATTAAGTTTTCTTTATTTTTCTTTAATATTTATTTGTTCTTTCATTCTGTTTCTCTGTTCCATTTCGATTAAAATTACATTTTCGAATGATTAAACAATTTTCTTTCTCGTTCCCATAAGCTTTTTATATGTGATATCTATCATAGATCAATTAGGATAAAATTAAACGAATTTTTATTTCTTATCACTATAATGATAAATGGAGAGAGATAAATTAGTAAAATTAAGTAAAAGAAAAAGTTAAAATGTTGAACTTACTGATTCGTTGCAAAATATACAATATAAAAAAAATCAATGACCATTTACTTTGGTTTGTAGTGGTCCAACGTTGACGCTGCAACAAATACTTTATTATAATTAACGTACGTAAGTTATAATTCAAAGTAACAAATAAGTAATATTTTTGAAATACTTGCATATGTTTTAAGCATATTCACTATTTCAATCTGAAAGTAACGAGTTACCTTAGCTAAATAATATGATATAAAAACTTACGTTAAATTACGTAAGCTCTGAGTTACCTTAGCTAAATAATATGACATAAAAACTTACGTTAAATTACGTAAACTCTAACAGCTTACGTAATTTAACGTAAGTTTAACGTAAGCTTCAATAATTTCAATATATTCTATATAGTTGTGATATTTCATGGTCATTTACAAATGACTATTGCATAATTTATTTTATCTCATTTACAAACTGAATAATTCGAAATTAATATACGATGAAATTTTGATTTTAATTTTCAAACTTATTTAATAAAAAAAAAAAAAAATTAAATCAAATTAAATTTACCATATCATAGAAATGAAGAAGTACAGATAATAAAAGATATATTAAAGATAGAATAATTGTTGATGCAAATTTTTTGAGCAATAAAGTAATAAGGCCTGCTTGAAAGACAAATGTTGATGAGAAAGCAATGAGAATAATAATAATACTGAGTATAATTAATGCATCTTGCAATCTGTAATATTATCTTAATTTTAATTTTAAAAAAAAAAAAAATCAAATCAATTAGTCAATCATTCATTATTAATTTTTTTTTTTTTTTGTTTAAATTAAAATTATAAATTACTTTCAATTAACAATTAATTAGAAAAAGTATGATAGTATAAGTAATAAATAATTCTTTTTAATATTGTATGCTAAATTGAAGTTTTTTTTTTCTTTTTTTTTTTTTTCTGATATTTATCATAATAGATGAAATATTCATAAGAAATAAAATTGATGAAATTTTTTTTTTTTTTTTTTTTTTGTAAAAATAAATATGTGAAAAAAAAAAAAAAAATGAAATAAAAGTAAATATATGAAATATTATTATCTGAAATATCAGAAATTTAAGGACTGACTGTTTCGTTTTCCATGAAATCTACAAAATTTTATAATTTTTGATATTATTTTAATATCAAAACATTTCTTTAGATTGATTAATATGATTGTTGGGAACTTTTATTATTTTGTTTATTATTATTTATCTTATTATCTTATCTTTTATCAAAGAATCTAATTAAATTAATGATATCCTAGAAATAATAATTTGCAAATCTTACAAATGAAGCATCAATTGAATGGTATTATCTGTTTTAAGCAATATGTCGAGAATATTAAATGTGAGATCTAATAATAACATGCAAATTTGTACCAATAATAAAATACCATATTTATTAGCCATCACTTAACTGAAATGATAAAATTATTAATTAGCATATATGCATACATTTATTTATAGATATTGAAAGAATTGTAATAAAAATAATAATCTGTAATTAAATATTTTAATTAAAATTAATCCAAACAATGTTTTTATTTGATTAAAAAAAAAAAAAAAAGTCAGATTAAAAAATTCAAAAAATAAATATTTCATTTGAACTTAAAAGAATTTTTTTTTTTTTGAATTTAAAAAAAATTTTGAAACTTGTAAAATGATCAATATAAAATGGTAAACAAAGCGTAAGAAAACAAAAATATACATTTCAATTTAAAAATATCTCTTTAATGATTTTATATGATAAATTTGCAATGCAATCAGAGAGAAATATACAAAATCAATTGATGAATTATTATCTATCATCTAACCCTAAGCTCATATTATTATTACTATTTCTATTTTAAATTTATTTAAAATATTCAATTTTAAAATTTAACCTACATTATGTGCATCTGCTAACTTCGAGAAGAAAAAGTGATGAAGCAGCTTTGATATTTCGTATCCTTGACAACCATTTTAGTTGAATGTAAAGCATAAACTAAATATATTCTCAATAAATTGATAAAATTGTAAATTATTTATGAGAAAGAAATGAGAAGGCATACATTCCTTCCATTAAATATAAAATTTATTTCAAAATTTTTGAGATAATTTAATTTGTTGCTATGATTGAATTTTACTAATAATATTGCAGCAAAAAGATTACAGTGAATATTGCTGTAATTAAAAGATTTTTTTTTTTTATTACACTGTGAAAGTTTACTTTAACTGATCAATTAATAATATTAGCATACTTTTTCCAGGTAACAATTAATTAATTACAGGTTGTAATTATGATAAGAAAATTGTAGGTAAGTGATTAAGTGATAATAATAATGTAAGTTTAACATACAAGCAAACACACACACACACATATACATACACATACAAACACACATTCACAAACAAACATACACATACACACATATATATATATACATATACACATACACAAACATACATACACACATATATATACATACACATACAACAGATACGTATGTATGTAGGCATGCGCACACGCTACGTTATTTATTCCACGTAATTCCATATACTATCATTACTTACATATATTATTATTACTTATCATTATTACTTACGTTACTTATTCCACGTAATTCCATGTATTATCATCACTCACATATGTTATTATTACTTATCATTACTACTCACGTTGTTTATTCCACGTAATTCATACACTACTAAATTACTTATGATTTGTTTCACCTAATTCATATATATTATTATTACTTTTGTCGATGTCATTTAACGTAAGAAATATAGATATGTCATTAAGAATCAGTCATAGTCTACTGAAATCACGTCAACTTATATATCTATAAACGTGACATTTATACGTCTAGACGTAAAGTTGGTATGAAATTTATTATATCAATGAAATCTGAAACGATTTCATATCCAAAAAAAGAAAAAAGTGATAATGTTTTTATCTGTTATATTTCAAATAAATTACTTACGAATTGAATCATTGTCAAATTGTGTCAAATATATCATCGATTGATTATTTCAATATTTCTCGAATTAATGTTAATCATATGAATTAAGTAGAAATAATTCCACTAGCTAACTCATCAATTTTAATTACTTGAATTCTTTAGTATTATTCAACGTAAAGAAAAATTGGCTGATAGTTTATATCAAACATTAAATTTAATAATTTGTCTCGAATAGTGAATAACGTTTTAAGTTTCATTTTAAAGTAAATTTTCTACTTTTTTAGGATGTGAACAGATGACGTTTAATAAAAAATAAGAGTGCAATGCAACTGAAAGCGTCAATTAAATTCAAAAAAAGTTTTTTTTTTGATGAATATTAATTTTATAGCTTTTTAGCACTTAATTTTGAAAATTTTTCAATTGATTTCATTACTTAAATTACAAAAACTGATACTAGCGATGTAATTATCACAATCATTCATACTTAAATTTATCAGTAAAATTAATTTTAATATCAAAATTAAATGATACATAACCACTATTATAACTATAATTATAAATATAATCATTTGTTATAACTATAATCATAGTTATAATCATAATTACAAGTAATCAAAATGTAAACTGAATTTATAACCATTCCTGGATTACATTATCAATAACTATGAATTGTTTTGTTCTCGATATCTTCTCGATTATATAATTACAACTATTATAATCATCATACTATTACTCTCGCAACACTCAATTACATTTATAAATCAGAAGATAATTGTGATAAAATTTTAAAAAAGTCGCAAATTCGAATTTTGGCGACATTTTCAACAAACGATCTTTAATCATAAGAAATAATAAATATTGGAGCGCAATTGTCGCAGCTGTTAGACCGCTGCTATTTTGAGAAATTTCAAAGGAATCATAATAGCGCGAAAAAATGTCCTTTGGTACCGAGCGGGGATGTAGCGGGTAGGTAGGAGCGGTGTAAGGTAAGGGGTGGTTGGGTGGCAAGGTGAATGATTGCTTGGTGTAATTTTATATTTTGATAATTTAATTCTAGGTAGTTCTATTAATGTGATAAATTTAATTTAAATTAAATTTTTTTTTTTTTTTTTTTGATTTATAAGTGAAAAATTTTAAAATTCCAGAAAGATTTCTGAGGAAGAAGTTAGAAAGTCTATAAAATGGAGAATTTTGTAGAGCATTTAAGCGCTTCCATTTGGGCTATGATAATGAGAGGTATTCCTAACAAACAGCAAACAATTGCACAATCCAATCCGTCTTTTCATGCAGAAATACGTTTGAATCCAACGATGTAAGTTTTTTTTTTCAATTTTCATTTACAAATGGATTTTTTTTTTTTTAAATTGACAAGTTGTATGTTTTTTTTTTTTTTGTTTTTATTTTAAAATTTCACTCCTAGATAACAGTTCGGTACGCTTTTTATTTTTCGACTTTTTTTTTTTTGACATCTATATATTTTTTGGATTACTTTAGCTTTTAGCTCTTAATTTTAATTGATAACACGTAGAAAATTCAGTTTAGCTTTTAAATATTAGTTTAATTCATGACAGATATTTTTTTTTTTAATTCATAACAAGTTGATGTGGAAAAAAAAAAGAGTTGAAGTGATTCGGGAGAAATTATTCGATTGTTCTGCTAATTCTACGTGATATTCACGTAACCGTACAAATACGACCACAAAAGCTAAATCAAATGAGTTGAATTGTGACACTTTTATACAAAATTTCCGTTCTTATGCGCAAATACATTAAAAATAATAGAATTATGGGATTCCAGTTTATTGGGAATGTAGCATAGGTGGACGTGCTTCCGTGGCGCAATCGGTTAGCGCGTTCGGCTGTTAACCGAAAGGTTGGTGGTTCAAGCCCACCCGGGAGCGACAGAACAATTCTGTTTTTTAAAACATTACTTTCGAAACCTGATTTTTAGTGCGAGAAAGGATGCTGAAAAGTTGTTACCTGAAATTCACAAAGCGATTTTATCCATTAAAAATATTCGTAATGGTCATCCGATAGCACTACCATCTGATAAGGAATTTAGTAAAATAATTGATGATGTATTTATTGTTTGCTCGGATACTCCCGAAGGTTTACTTTTTGACTTTTTGTTCCTTTTTTTTTTTCCAGCAAGTTTCGAAATTTTTGCAGCTTTTGGAAATAATTCACGCAAAATTCTTTGTTTCTTGATTCCGTAATTAAGTTTCCTTCAGTTATTTTCTAATATTTTTAGGAGAATTCTTGACAATATCTGATACTTCGCTAACAGTTGCAAATTTACATCTATATAAATTATTGAATCGTGATGCGCAGACACTAGAAGCTCAGTCAGGTGAATATGGTTCCGAATCTAATACTGCCGGATCATTGCTGTGGGAATTGCCTTGTCGTGAATTTGATGGAATTTGGGAAAATTTGATTTTCGATGATTCCATTAAAGATGAAGTAAGTTAAAAATGGTTAATTTTAACCTTTAATTTAAGCACTGTGACATTTCTGTTAGTTTTGCATTAATTTTTCGTTTCTTCACTTTCCAGCTCCGTTTTTAGATGTTTGGTTGTTGCTTCCATAATAACTGTCAAGCTTTTTTCTAGTTGGATACTATTGGCTTTTTGTCAATATTTTTCCTTGCATTCAAAATTTTCAGTGAAATCTATAGCGCTATTCGTTGAGGAAAACTTAAGACCATTTAGGAAATTGAAAATAAAATTTATGTTTATGAGGCTATGTTTCTTCAGCTATTTTCTTACATTTACGCACTGGTCAGGCTTTCGGAGAAAAATACAAATACTACAGTATTAAGAGTAAACCGAATGATTTTGTTGCACGGTTTGTTGTTTTAACTTCGCAAATTGCTTTACATACAGAATTTTTTCAAAATAAAGCTGAAATTGATACTTTGATATTAGTGGTGAATTCAAAACTAGATGGAAATTAAGCATTCTTTGAAATATGAAGGCATTGCATTGTACGTTGCAGGTCCACCAGGAACAGGCAAAACATCCCTTTGCAGAGCACTGGCCCAAAAGTTGGCTATACGATTTAGCCAAAAATACAAAAGGATATATTTTGTGGAAATTAACAGCCATGGTCTTTTCTCAAAATTTTTTTCTGAGGTAATAGTATTGATGACACTGAAATAGTTTCTAGCAAATCTACTGATGTTTACAGTATTACCGAGACTATCTAATATTACGTTCATAGGGATTATAACCTGTCTGTTTAACGTTTTATCACTGATATTGTATCATATCAAAGAAGTTCTAAAACTCCATTAATCTTTAGAGTGGAAAATTGATCCAAAGTATGTTTAAACAAATTGAAGAACTCGCAGAAGATCCAAAAGCATTTGTTTTTGTACTTATTGATGAAGTAAGCATATTTTTACATTATCGTAGCCATTCTTTTCAATACTGATTTTTTCTTTTTTATTTTAGCAATATTACTGATATAGAATCTTTGTAAAATTATAAATTTTACAAAGATTGAAGCCACCTAATTAAATCGCTGTATCTGGTGTTTTTGTTTAATTTGGAATTAAGATTTTTTGCTACTGGAAAAATATTATATTTAATGATTCAATAATTCTTTTATCAAATTTTATTTTGTGCCATAATGGCTTATTTTTTTTAAAGGTGGAAAGCTTAACGATAGCTCGAAGCGCTTTGTTGAATCGAAACGAACCAACGGATGCAATTCGTGCTGTAAATGCTGTTCTTACTCAAGTGGATTATATACGTCGACGTAGTAACATATTTATTTTCACCACCTCCAACATAACAGAGGCACGCCTTTTGTTCTTTCCGAAAGCCAGCAAAAATGATTATATCTACGAAATTTATGACTATATCTAGGAAAAGCGAAATTTCTTGCTACAAAATTTTTGGATTTTGATAACAGCAACCATCTTTCTGTACTTTTTTTTTTTTTTTTTTTTTTAATTTTCAGAGCTTGGATGAAGCTTTTACGGATAGAACAGATTTAAGTCGTTTCGTTGGTTATCCTTCAGCAAATGCAATTTACGCCATATTTCGTTCATGCATTCAAGAAATGCAGAGGGTAAATCTCAACATTGGAAATTGAAAGTCTATCATGAAAATATAAAAAAGATCAAAATAATGGCATCAAAAGTTTCATAAAAATTTTAGATTGGAATTGTGGAGCCTGGTCCGTGGTTTTCTGAACAATATGCAAATGGTCCACATTGTGAGAAGCTTATGCAGTTGTCGCGGTAAACTAGTTTGTAATGTTACTATAATTATTAGCCTTGTGTTTCAAGCAGTTATTGGGGTGAAAACGAGTTTGTATTATATAGAGTATACTAACGTGATACATATATAAGTAATTTTAGTGGAATAAGTAGTATTTTTGCAGAAGTGCTTCTGGCTTGAGTGGACGTTGTTTACGGCAACTGCCTGTTATCGGATACTCAAAATTACCAGTGGTATTTTTTCTTTTTTTTTTGTTATATAAATGCATAAGTTATATCGGAAATACAAAGTTATATCGTTCTTAGAGATCCTTGCTCCTGTTTTTTTTTTTTTTTTTTTTTTAATTTTTAATGAAACTAACCTAGAGTTAGTTTTTTTTTTTTTTAGGATCAGTTATCCATTGAACAATGTCTTGGTGTATTAGAAAAAGCCCTAAAAGAGAAACTTTCTGAAAATGTGAGGTGTTTGTCCGATTTAAACGCACGGCGAAAATTTACAACTGCTTCAATTGGTTAACACATTGATTTTGACTGCAATCCTTTAACGTTTATCCCACTATCAATTTTGAATTTCTCATTTTGAAAATTTCTCATCGTTATCCAATTTCCTCAAATGATATTCGTTTCTCAAATTAATCATATTGTGCAATGTGGAAATCACAACTACATTTCCGAGAATTTGTTGTTGTTGGTGCAAAACTTTTTGTTATTGTTGCAGGACTGCCACTGTAGATGATTAACTCATTATTTTAGCAAACGCTTCATAACAAAAATTACTATTGTTGTCGCAAAATATGTTGTATCATCGTAAATTTACTGTTTTGGCAAATCGCAATTTTTTCCTACTTTTTAGTAAAGAAGTTTTGGAATTCTCTTCCCTAGTTTAATCATACTATTATTATCATCAAAGATACAAGTCGATTGTGATATTCCTTTCCAATGTTAGCAATTTCCGGAATTCTTCACGGCATCGATAACGATAATGGTGATAGTTGTAACGGTAGTTCCATATTTGGTTTACTACCATTTTCCTTTGCACCATCTAAAACCTATCAATTTTAATTTTTCCATTGAAAATCCGAAATATCCTATATGATCCATACAAAACTGATCGATCTTACGGAATAGTTTTGTAACTTTTTCCCGGAATATTGTTGAGGTCATGAAATTTCTACTTCCACAATATTTCATACACCCGTGCTAGAAATGCATGAGCGTGTTACATGCAAAATATTGGGTAGCGTAATTCGAAACAACATTCAAATTTCTCCTTTTTCCCAAGAGTCATTCGTGGGCATTTTATCTGCTGAAGTACTTGCCGTATTTTCATTTTGTCATGCAGTGACAAAAACGAACCAGTTAGTTCATAAAGTAATTTGGTTACCTGGGAACTTCAGAATAAATGTAAAAAATATGTACAATAAAGCTTCCGAATATTTGGTAATAGATGATGATAATAGCAATAATAATAATAACAATGATAATAATAATAATTGATAATAATAGTAATAATAATAAAAATGATAATAATAATAATTAGTAGTAATGAAAATAATAGTAATAATAATAATTTTTAATAATATTAGCTTTAAAATGAGGTCGTTGAGTCCGACAAACGGTAGCTCTTTGGAGAAGCAAGAAGAACGTAGCAAAAAAAGAAAAAAAAGGGAAGCCCACAAATCAGTTTTTTGCAGGTAAGTTGTTTTAAGAGTTTTCTTATATGTAAAGGATTCCAAAAATTATTTCGAATCTAATAAATGAGGCGGAAAGGTCTTAAACGACAAAGACAGGAAACTTCTAATTAAAATGTAATGGTTCAAATTAAAGGAATATCTAGACGAAGTACTGATTTGATACAATGTAACACCTTTCTAAGCCTTTTTTCCTGATCATTAAATCAGGATTGAGCAACGAAATAATACTTTAAGAATTTACGGGAGTGTACGTAAAATTCCCAAACTTAATTATTTCCTGGCTATTATAAAAGAAAAGAAAAAGGATTGGAGACAGATATTTGGTAATGATATTATTGTTCAATGCAACATCGAAGTACGATGAAATCTCCAATAAGAGATATTGCATTGATTTTTTTTTGCTTCAAAAAAAAAAAATTTTTTTAATTTGAAGCTTCCCACTTCTAAACAAACGTATTAATTAATTATTTTTCTTTTTGACACCCAAAGATAATTCCTGACAATTTGTACAGCATCAGAACTAAACCAAAAGAAAAAAAGTGATTTTCTAACAGATTTGTTTTGACAATATTTGAAATAAATAACTTACAGATTTTTTTTTTTTCTGACCAATTTTTCCTTGTGCCCATTTTATGAGACCTTAGGAATTTAATTAAAATAAATGAGAATCTTGTAGGAGGAAGAAAAAAAAAAAAGAAGTGCAACACGTGAAAACAACGAAACAAATATCAGATGACGATATGTTGTTCGTCGTTCACGTCTACAACTTCTGGTAATATGTTTATGTCTGACTGATCTGAGTCATTCATGGTACTCTCTGCAGAGGTACTTAAAGTCACACCTTCACCAGAATTTCGATAAAGACAATAATGTTGCACCATAAAGATTACATCGAATATCATTGATACCAAACCAAGACCAAGTTTCACTGGATTTCCATAAAATATTGACCAGTCGTCTAGAATTTCAAAATATTTATTTCAGTTTTTTGTTTTTTGTTTTTTTTTTTTTTTTTCATTACTAAAGTATTGTTTTCATAAGGCAATTACTGATAAGTTGATCTATTTATTAATTACTTACTGATAAAATTTTCTTTCTTTCCTTTCGCTTTTACATAATAACTATATTTTCATCTATTATTTCCAACACTTACGAAAAGACTAATGCATGAGAATTAAGAAGTATAATTATTTGAGCTACTTCTCCTTTTAAATAACTTTTCTTTTTATGCATTTGAAGACTATGAGTGATTTTTCTGATGATTAAACGAAAAAAAAAAAGTAATGAATTTCTAAAAGTATATAAAAACTTTTGGTGGATTGAAATTTTAAAAGAAGTAAGGAAATAAAAAGTATAATAAAAAGTTATGTTAAAGAGGCTTTTTCCCTAATAAAATATTTTCAGATAAAAAATAATAAAGTTTCTTATATAAAAATATTAAAGTAAATTGTATTTATGAAAAAAGTAAGTTTAAATAATCCCATCCTAACCTAATCAATTTAACTCTTAATTTTTTTTAAAAAAAAAAAAAAAAAAAATCATAAAAAAAAAACCAAACTTTGCTAAAAATGTAAAAAAGAAGAATTTGCAGAAAATAAAAGACAAATGAACTTTTATTAATAGTACTAAATTACTTTATTTCTACTATGTATAATTATTTTATTAGAAATTATTTCACACATAATGCACAAAATATTCATCCATTACCTTTCCTTCATCTGACTAAAAATTGAAATTAGTATAAAAATGAAATTAAACATTTCTTTCTAATCACATTAATATATTTTTTTTTTCAATTATTTTAATTCAATTTTGTTTACAACCTGTATTTGCTCCTTGCAAAATCATTTGTGTAATATCCATCGATCCACCCAAAAAATCCAATAAAACATTTCCTATTGACCATCCAATCGTACTTCTTCGTCGAAAATTCATAAACGCCTCAAATAAAATTAAAAAAAAAAAAAAGAAAAAACATTCATTCAAAAAATTTTTAAGAATCGCCAACCCCTTTTAGGATTGTTAAATTTCCGAAAAAAAAAAAGCCGCATTAAGTGGACTTGATAAATTACTCGTTTACAGTTAAATCAGCACAACTAATTATATTGCTAAAAATTTTGTCAGCAATAATATTTTAAAGTCTAACAGAAAACACTGGAATAATTTTACAATTTTTAATCTGTTATTTTATAAAATACAATCAAAATTGGATGAGTGAAAATTACTAAACCTAAATTATTGTGAATATTATTCATAATAATTTAACTTTTCTACAGAAAAATATTTATTACAACCTTAGCACAGGTAAATGAAACTATTTTCGATTATTTTTCTATCTTTTCAATAAATATTTTATCACTTTTCTTTTTTTGCAATAAAAAAAAAAAAAAAAAAAAAAAAACTTTGTTACCTGTGGAAAATATTTACATACAGTAACAGCCATTTTAATATATGATAAACACATAATGTACTGTAATGGATTCATTATTTCAAATGCTGTTAATAGTAATGTTACTCCAGCAATTAGTCCAAATAAAGTTGCAATACTCCAACAAGTATATGAAATACGCTGATTACCACGCTAAAAATAGAAATTTTAATTTAATTACAAATTAAATTTTAATTTTTTTTTCTTTTTTTTTTTTTTTGGATAAATCTGAACAATTTAAACTTTAAAAAGGCAAAAATTATAAATATATTTATTGAGAAAATTAAATAATAAGAAATATATGAAAATTTTATAAGCTAACATCATAGAGAAAGCATTGTAGAGCAGTGATAAGACATGCAAAAAGTGCATGTGTAGCAAATACAACATCATTTAATAAGACGGGAATTAAACTATGAGGATAATTATGTTCATATAATTCCTGAAAAAAAGAAAATAATAATAATTAAATTTGAAATTTATTTCATTTATCCTATTATTTCAATTAATTTATAGCTAATAGTTGTTATATTCTCAAAGATCAAAATCATTTATTTGATAATTTAATTAAACTCAAAAAATATTACAAAAAATTTTTTAAATTCCTCAAATATTCTAATAGTTGTTCTATTATTATTATTATGTAGCAATTATTAAAAAAGAAAATAATAATAATAATAATAATGAAATTTAAAATTTATTTCATTTATCCTATTATTTCAATTAATTTATAGCTAATAGTTGTTATATTTTCAAAGACCAAAATCATTTATTTGATAATTTAATTAAACTCAAAAAATTTTAAAAAATTTTTCAAATTCCTCATATATTCTAACAGTTGTTCTATAATAATAATTATTATTATATAGCAATTATTATCAATGATTGAAAATTTGGATGAAAAAATTTTGTCAACCTTCAACTTTAATATTTGTTATAAATCATAGGTCAAAGTTTCCCCAATTTAATGTACTTTCCTATAGTTCAGGGGTAAAAAAAAGAAAAAAGTTTACACAATGAAATGTACTCTGAATCAGAAATCAATAATAAACTTTGAGAAATTTATGGCAAATTAAAATTTTGATCAAATATTTTTCAAACCTGAATATATGTATCAAAATACATCAAAACATTGTAAGATGTATAGCATGTGAAGCCAATAATATTTAGTAACAAAAAATCAAAATTTAATCCAATAACACTGGAAGTAGCATGTTATAAAATTTGTAAAATAATATTAAACAGGTATAAATTTTAAACTGCAACATTTATAATTTTATACCAAAATTTTAACAAAAATATCTAAATAAAATTCTATTGTAAAATAGATTTTTTTAAATTTACCTTTTCCTAGTAAAATTAAGAATTATTTGTGGATAAAATGATATACTCCATGCAAAGAAATATATCCAACCAGTAATAATAATGCTAATTGATAATAGCTTACTGTGCACCACTTTAATCCTCACAAAAGCAGACTCCAAATCACTAAAAATTGGAAATAAATTTTTAAAAATATTTCAATTACTTTTGTTCATTGCAATATGATTTATATATATATTGAAGATGCTTTTAAATTCTATGTTTGTTAGATTAATTTTTGAAAAGGAAGTGAAAAAAAAAGAAAAGATTCGCACAATTTTAACACATAAAAACTATCTGTTAGTTCGAATTTTTTTTTTTCGAACAAATTTTACACATAGAATCAATGTCATTTTAATGCATTTTTATACGTAACTTTCACATTTCACCGAAAAAAAAAAAAAAAAACGAAAGTAAAAAAAAAAAGTATGAAAATTTATCGCAAAAAAAAAAAAGAAAATTGAAATTTTTTGATTTAAAAATGATAAAATTTACTGGTCCATTTATTAATTTACTTGTCACTTACCCTCAAATTTTAACATCAAATTTTTCACTACATCAACAAAATTTATTATGTCTAATAGAAGAAAATTAAAAATTTCTAATAGAAAATTAAAATTCATACTTGAATGGACATTTATCAATTGGTTTTGTAGAGTTACATTTTTGAATTTCCAATACGGAATGACTTGTAATTTGTAAGCCTGTTATCACAACATTTGCTGATCGTGTCTGATTATCAAGTTGGAAAATGTGTGGTGTACCATCGAATGAATCTGATCGCATTAATGTAATATCAACAGCTGATGGCAAATTATCACTGCAAATTAGGTAATAAAAAGTAAAAAATTAAAAATAAGTATAATGATAAGGATGTTATAAATTTAAAAAAACTAGTAGTAATATCAAATTAAAAAATAATTTTAACTTATCAGATTAATGTTATCAAGATTTGATGGCTTATATATTTGATCAAACTTACCTATTAAACCATATAATTTAACTGAAGCAAATTTAAGTATTAAATTCAATTTTTTGAATCTATTATTATAAAAAATGATAATGTAACAAGAAACTTACGTAGTATAAAATCGAACAGTTTTATCTTCACCAATAGTAAGTGTAATTTCCTGTGGTTGAACATGAATTGAAATACCCGTTGTTATTTTTATCATTTTTCGGAGAACAAAAATAAACAAACAATAGTTGTAGAAATTCATAGCAAACTATTAACTGAATATCAAAGATTTGAAAAACGAATATAATACTGCAAAATAGTAATTACAATGCTTTTTCTTCTTCATTTATAACAATCAAGAAATCGTGTAATTTTAATAGGTTATTTATAATTTCAATAAATAAAATAAAATTATTCATTCAAATTAATGTAATAATAATAACAGTAATAATAATAATAAACTCTTCATAAAAAAAAAGAGAAATATGTCGCAAGAGAGAAAATTTTTAACTTTTATCTAAGAGAGAGAGAGAGAGAGAGAGGAAGAGAAAAAAACAACCTTCAGAAAATTATTATTAGTGGGAAGGAAATAAAGATGGATGTATCAAACATTAAAAGGTAAGAGACAATTCAATTGAAAAAAAAAAAAAAAAATTTATTACACATGTTATGTCCTTATTCGATTTTTCCGCTTTCTTTCCTCTTTCTATGTCTTTTTAATCTAACATCTAAGTTTTTTTTTTTTTTTTTTTTTTTTTCGAATTTTTTCTATCAAATTTTTGGTATTCAATAAATATTCAATAAATCATACATCTTTCTGCTTATAAATATTTCTAGGCTAAACATAGGAATTTAAATGAAATGAATGACATAGTGAAATTATAATAAAAATGATCTCATTAGCAAATAAAAATGATTGATTTCTCAATCAATTAAATAGCATAAGCATGAAAAAAGAAGAGAAATTTTCCTGTGAAAAAATGAAATTCATATCTGTTCTTTCTGAGAATTTTTCTGAAAAATAAAACGTTTGTGCTTTTTGCGACAGAAAAAAAAAATGAATGAATAAACAACAGATTGCCTTTTTCCACGATAGAACAAATATCTCTGATAATTTTTATCCTATATTTAAAAGAATTTATGAAATAAAATAGAAAAGAAGCAAATAATTGATAAATGCATTGATAAAAGGCTCTACCTAACAGAATTAAATTAATTTGAAATTAATTAAATCTATATCATGATAGATCATGTGAAACGAAAAAAATACCCGTAAGAATCATTCAAACTAAATATTAGTTTGAATTCAGTACTGCAACAATCATCATAATTATTAATTTGAATCCGGTACCACAAAAATCATTCAACCTAAATATTAGCTTAAATCCGGTCAGGAAAAAAAAGACTAACACATTTTAATTTAATATCTTATATTGTATCGTAATGCTTATACTTATATTTATATCATCATTATCATTACAACAATTATAATTATTTTCTACATAATTCCTTTAATAGTTGCAATCGTTTCATTAAAAAAATTATTCAAATACTAAATGCATAGTTCAAATTACTGAACCAAACTGATATTTACTCAATCGCAATAATATAAACATTGGGTAGGTTATAGCTACAAACATTGAAACCTGTAGGAAATAGGATAAATAAGCAAGATAGCAAATAGCCACAACAACCGATAATAGTATAATAAGGAGTGAAGAACGAATATTTTCTAACAAATTTCAAAAGTTTGCTTTACATTTTATGAATCGTAAACAATGAGCTATTAAAAGTTTGGATGTTGGACAAATAACTTGAAATTTGATCAATTAGAACACAGAAAAACACAGAAAAAATTTCCTGAAAATTCACAAAGAAAAGCATTTTCTTTTAAATAGCGTAGCAAGTTGTTGAACTACGTTTTAAGATCAATTTCAGATCAAACAAAAAATTAATTTTGAAAAAGTTAAGTCCTTTTTAATCTCTCGTTTATAATAGGTATGATAATACTTTAACAATTGATTTTACTTGGAACAAAGGTGAAATTTAAAAAGCTCTTCATCTTACCAAATAAAATCATTGTTCATGTATATATATTAGCACTAAATAATAATAATAAATGTTGACAATTTATTTACTTATTACTTTTTGTTTCTGTTTATTTCTCCTCCTATTTTCGTCCACGCCTTCCTTCTTTCATCTTCATTTTCATCCTAACATTTTGTCCTTTCTCGGGTTTTTATTCTTTCCAATTTCAGATTATTGTTTTCAATCATTCTTTTCCATCTTTGAACTGAATGAAAAATGACGAATGAAGAATCAACAACAATCACACATTTTTATTCCTCTTCTTTTCAGATTACTCAATAATCACTTTGAAATATGAAAATATTAATTAAAATATAGACAAGTGATGAAATAAGCATTTAGTTATGTTTTTCGTCAAAAATACATTTGTTATCCATTTTTCTTTTTTTTTTTTTTTTTTTTAGGCAAATATCTAATCATATATTTCAAAGTATTTTATTATTCCTTAAATTATGTATAGTTGAAAAGTATGATCATCGATTGTATTATCACAGCAATAATTTGCAGTAATTTAACGGAAACATACTTCCATGCAAAAAAGAGAAAATAATCATATAAAGAGATATTGATAAAAGATAATTATTACATAATTTGTTAGATGACAATAAATGAAAAAAGAAAAACAACCTAAGTAACATTTTCTCCATTTTTTGAACCATTCATAATGACTAAAAAAATACCTTTTAATTGTTATCTGTCACTGTTACAGCAAAAAAGAGCAAAAAGTGCTCTGCCAAAATGATAAATCACAAGATAATAAACTATGTTAAATGTAATTATGCTTCACCGGAAAGTAGAAGATTGCAAACTGAAAGAAACACATTTGTACTATCCTTTTAAATTTTCAAAAGTAATTTAATTGATGAGAAGACGCACGGACAAATCTATCTATTCTAAAAAAGAAAAAAAAAAAAATCTGTCTGCATTTGCAAAAGAAATTTATTTTTTTTTAAAAAACAAAAAAGGAAAAACTTAAAATTTAGTTATTAATAAAAAAAAGTAAGTAGTTTTAGTGATTTTTCGCTACTTTTTTTTTCTAACGAAAAATTAGCGCTTCAATGTTGTTCTTTGCATATGATAAAATTCTAGCAAATAATAAGAAAAATATCAAATAGAGGCATAACACTAATAATTTACTTTAATTGGCATAAATTCCGATTTAAAAAATTCTCAAATTTTCACAATGATAAATTACATTCAATTCTTTCAACAATCAATCGTACAGGAAAAGTACAAAACGTATTTGCTGATTGGTTGTCTTGCGAAATCGACAAATTTTGCCTTTATTTGATGTCATTTAATGGAAAAAATTGAATTGAATTGAATTTATGTCGAAATAATTTTCTACTGAATCTACAAAAAAGCAGAAAAATTTGTGAAACAAAGATTTTCTTATTTAAATATTCCTTAAATAAATTACAAGACTGTTGTAATTTCATATCAAGCCATTATTTTCCAACACTGTAGTCAAACTCTCGAATTGTACTCAAACTTGTATGATCAATCGATCATCTATAATGTCATAATATGTTCATTATTCGTTGAATATGTGTACTGCTTAATTTTTATTATTTCTTCCAAATTCTTTCATTCTAAAATTTTATTAATTCAAACTTATATTCAACTGTTATATCTGAGGTTATAAGTTCATCATTTCAATAGTTTAGTCATAAATTAATCTCACTTGTAATGTCAAAATATTGTAGAGATGTTCCACTTTGACAGTCACCATTGTAACAAACGTTATAAACCAGCTCCCACTATATAAAGAGTAAAGATCATCTGATAGCTCTCAATTTGTTGTAAGCCAATGCTCATTGTACAAAAGGAGTTGAAACATTATTTGGAGGTTTTGGTTTGGTTCATCTCAGCACTTAACGCAGTCATTTCAATTTCAATAAACGATGTCACAAACAGCAACAATAATAGTGGTGGTAGAACGGAAGTACGACAATTTATTGGACAATTAATGAACAGTTAGTGTAATTTAATATTCATTTTGTTCATTTCTTTCCTTTTATTACATATGTGTATCGTAAATTTCTTTCCTATTACATATGTATCGAACAATAAAGCTTTGTCCAATTATGAAGTTACGGCAACAACAACAACAACAACACATACTGTTAAAAAATTGCCCGACATCATCTATTTGATTATTTTTCTAATCGATATCAACCATAACTACAGCTACATCAAAACAACCATCCTACTTAATCATTATGCAACATTACACTGCAGTATTGAAATGAAACATCATCATTCATATATCAAGCAAAATTTAGAACTAACTTAATCTTAAAATGAAATAATTAAATGGAAAATGAAATATTTTGCGTAATGGTTTAACAATCGGACAAACAAAAAAAAAATGATTTAAAAAAAATCATTTCGTGAAAAATGAGCAAAAATTCTAACAAAATTTTGTTATATAGCATGTTAGATTTTTGATAAAAAAAAATTTCATATTTTAAAAAATGGGAACTTTTGATCGGTTTTCTTATCAAAAGTCTTAAAATAAAAACCGATAATCACAAGATCGTCCTTCACATTTCCAATTCTTCGCTCTTTTTTTTTTTTTTTTTTTTTTTTTTTTTGCTTAGATATTCATCAATCAAAACTATGTTGATAGCTTATCAGTGATTTAATAATGAAATTTATCAACCAGTTCAAATTCCAATTTTATCAGATTATGGAACAGTTGCTCTTCACTCCTTTCTAATAATTATATTTTTTAGTAGCATAAAGACTACGGAAATTTGTCCATTTGGTAGTTCAACTATCATTAAATCCAATCAGTACTGATACCAATTTTGAAAACAATTATCCAACTGTCACAAATATTAAATGAAACACAAATATATTAAAATATATGTTAAGAAATGGGAACTTATGATCAGTTTCCAATCAAAAATCTTAAAAATCAACTCATGGTCAGAGTATGATAATCGTTCTCGTATTTCCCATTCTCAATTTTTTCGCATTATTTCTTTAAAATGTTCAATACATGTTGGGCGCGGAATAAAAAGGAAAAAAATGCCGATATTTTATACGAGAAGTTGCAAGAAAATGAGAAAAATAGAGGATTTATTGAATGAAAGAAATCGAAAGGAAAATTGAAAAAAAAAA